TAATAGTTTTCATTAATTCTGTCTGGTGATCATCAGCATTTCTTCTTATGGCATTAAAAAAATAAACCAATTCATAGGGGTTCTTGGGTTTGACATTTCTAAGACAAGAGTCTTAATTTTAGTGTCAGTTGAAAAAGTGAATGGATGGGGAAAGTCATGTTCATTAAGAACACCAATTATGATACATTTCACAGCTTGTCCCAAATTCTTAAATAGCCTGAAAGTCAGTCAATAGTGATTGGGGCCTAATCACTTAATAGCGATATCTCCTTGAAAATCCTGCCCTTCTGAACAAGCTTAATGCACACGATTCTGAAGAGTCACATTGTTATTGTTACGTGCTGTCGAGTTGGTTCTAACCCAGAGCGACCCTGTATAGAGTTTCCAGGAGCGGCTGGTGAGCTTGAACCACTGACCTTACAGTTCAAATGCCTTTGCAATCCAGTGCATTAACACACAGTGCCACAGCGGGACTCCAGGATTCACATGGTGAACAGCTATGATTACTTACAGGAGGCAGACAAGCACACCAGAGCAGTTCGTATCCATTGTTGAATCAGTTCTACCATGACTCAAAAAGGCTGTCCTGGTGAAAGTGATGACGTCCACGCATAGTCCACTTTGTACCAGAGACTGTCCGTCCCTGGTTTTGTAGGCTTAGTTAAGGTAGGAGGCAAAACTTACATGTGCTTCACCAAGCACCGTAGCTGAAGAGCTCTGCAAGTTCACTCCGCCAGCTGTTTTCTGTCCCCAGTGCCCACACGACACACACACTTGCTACACAGAGTACAGTGTAGATCACTAAGGAAGGGTGGTGGTCAGACACTTGGGTGCCTAACTTGTAACTGTATGTCTTTAACTGCACTGCATGTTTAGACAAATCATTAGGCCCAGTAGGGGTGGGGAGTGGTGGCTTGATTTGAAGCCTAAAGCTGTTGGTAAGAGCAGGAGTGGGGAAGACCATCTCCGGGCTCTTTGAAAGGATTGCTTCCTCACACAAATCATCAGGAAACCTCGTTTCTCAACTTTCTCTGAGGGAATAGCTATTTGTAGCATTCAGCTGCTATTTTTAAACTATGCCATGTAAGTTGTTGCTGTTAAGTGGTGGTGAGTCCTTCAGACTTGTAGCCACCCTGTATAGGGTTCCAAGGAGCAGCTGGTGGGTTTGAACTGCCAGCCTTGCGGTTAGCAGCCCAGTTCTTGTCCTGTGGCACCACACCAGGATATGCACACACATACAAGGTGTAACTTGACACCAATTCAATTTAAATTTTTCTTACATTCATGAAGGAGATCTCATTTTATATTGGATTTGAGTATATCCCTCTTTTGTGCAGACACCATTTTCTATGTGTAAAACAACATTAAGACATTTGATTGTACATTTTAAGCTGTGAGGATTTGACCTAAACTACACTGTATAATATGTAATAGGAAATTCTGCAACATCACTTATTATTGGTAACAAAGATTACCAGGAGATGTCTAACCTCCGTATGAGAACAAAATGTCTTAAGAGGGTGTTATTTTTTTTTTTTTTAGGAATGGAGGCTACTAATTAAGATGACTCTAATCTAGTCTTCAAAATTAGCCCAGATAAAAATGGCTTTCTAGAAGCATTTTTTACATGTTAGTTTAAATTTCTTTCTCTATTTAAAAGCTTTTAAAAACTCAACAAAACATTTTTTTTGTGTACACACACCTATAAGGTGCAAATGCCCACCAATTCAATCGAGACCTCACGTATTTGTACAAAGGATATCTCCTTTTACATTGGATTTGGGTACTCACCTCCGACTCACAGCGGCCCTGTGCACAACACAATGAAACTTGGTCCCGTTCTTCATCATCCTCACGGTTGCTAGGCTTGAGCCCAGTGCTGCTGCCATTCTGCCAATCCCTCTTGTTGTGGGTCTTCCTCTATTTCACTGATGTTACCAAGTCCACTTTACCAAGCATGATGTCCTTCCTCTAGGGACTGGTCCCGCCTGATAATATGAACAAAGTATAGGAGATGAAGTCTGGCCATCCTGGCTTTTAGGGAGCATTCTGGCTGGACTTCCTCCAACACATTTGTTAGTTTTTCTTGCAGTCCGTGGTACTTTCAATATTCTTCTCCAGCACTATCACGCAAATGCATCGCTTCTTCTGCAGTCTTCCTTAATTATTGTCCCAACTTTCACATGCATGTGAGACGATTGAAAATCCATGTTTTTGGGTCAGGTGTACCTTAGTTTTCAAACTGTGACATTTTTGCTCTTGAACACTTTAAAAGGCCTTGTGCAATAGATTTGCCTAAGGCAATACGTCATTTGATCTCTTGACTGCTGCTTCCATGAGTGTTGATAGTGTATCCAAGAAGAATGAAGTCCTTGACAACTTCAATCTTTTCTCCATTGATAAGAATGATGTTTATTGGTCCAGTGGTGAGGATTTTTGTTTTCTTTACATTGAGATGTAATCCATACCGAAGGCTGTGCTCTTTGATCTTCATAAGTAAATATTTCAAGTCCTCTTCACTTTCAGCAAGCAAGGTTGTATCATCTGCATATCGCAGGTTGTTAATGAGTCTTCCTCCAATCCTGATGCCACGTTTTTCTTCATAGAACTCAGCTTCTCGTATTATTTGCTCAGCATACAGGTTGAATAAGTATGGTGAAAGAATACAACCCTGTCGCACACCTTTCCCAATTTTAAAACATTCAGTGTTCCCATGTTCTGTTTGAACAACTGCCTCTTGGTCCAGGTACAGATTCCTCATGAGCACAATTAAGTGTTCCGGAATACTCATACTTTGCAGTGTTGTCCATAGCTTGTCATGATCCACACAATTGAAAGCCTTTGCGTAGTCAATAAAGCACAGGTAAACATCTTTCTGATATTCTCTGCTTTCAGCCAAGATCCATCAGACATCAGCAATGATATCCCTTGTTCCACGGCCTCTTCTGAATCTGACTTGAACCTCTGGAAGTTCTCTGTCAATGTATGATTATAGCCGTTTCTGTATTACTGTTAGTAAAACTTTATTTGCACGGGACATCAAAGAGATTGTCTGATGAGTTCCGCATTCTGTTGGGTCACCTCTCTTTGGAATGGGCACAAATACGAATGTCTTCCAATCAGTCAGTCCGATAGTTGTCTTCCAAATTTCTTGGCAGAGATGAGTGGGTGCCTCCTGTGCCGCCTCACTTTCTTGAAAGATTTCAATTTTTATTACATCAATAAATAATAAATAAGGAGCAGCATCAGTAAAGCTGCTCCTTAGAAACCCTATATAGGGTCTCTAGGAGTTGGAACCGATTTGACAGCACTTAACAACAGTAACTTTGAATATATGTAGAGTACACCATTTGGAAAATAAATTAGAAAAGTGAAAGAGGATATGGTATCAAGGTACTAAAGCAGGAGACTAGAAAGAGCAACAGAAATAAGCAAAAGAAAGGTGAATAAAATCTAAACATTGGCTCTAATTTACTTAGCCTCTCCCATTCCTTTTCCTCTCTCTACCACCCATATCCCTAACTGTCCACCTGTGGACTGAAAACAAATAAAATGTATCTGAACTGCTTGGAATCCTGGTGTGGCATGGTAGAATAAGCCCTAGACTGCTAACCTAAAGGTGGGTCATTCAAACCCACCAGCCACTCCTTGGAAACCTTAGTGTGATGCCCTAGGATAAGCACTGGACAGCAAGGTCTGCAGTTCAAACGCTCACCAGCCGCTCCTTGGACACCCCTTTACACAGGTAGCTGTGAGTTGACACTGACTTGACAGTACTTAACAATAAGAAAAATTGAAATACTTTAAAACAAAACCAAAACCTCACTGTCAGGGATCTTTAGGAAGTATTGGGTGGTGCAGATGGGTGAGTGGTTGGCTACTAACTGAAAGGTTGGTGATTCCTATCTACCCAGAGGCACCTCAGCGGACAGACCTGGTGATCTACCTCCGGAAGGTCCCTGTCACTGAACACCTCATGGGCACAGTGCTCCTTTGAGGCACATGGGCTCATCGCCGTGAGTCAGCAACTGGTTAGTGCTCACAGTCTATGATCTGTAGATCTGATATTCACACTTGTAAACTCACATCTATGGTAGAATTCTTGAACGGTTTCTAATCAGCTTCCTTAGTGAAGCATCCAGTATATCAAAATGTCTGAATGGGGACTCCTCTAATTCCTCTGTTGCTCCCCATAATTTTAACTGCCTAGTTGCTGCTGCTGTTAGGGCCATGTGGTCCGTTCTGACTCGCTGTGACCCTATGCACAGCAGAAGGCAGAAAGACTGTGTGGTCCTACGCCGTCCTTTGAATTGTTGCTACACTTGAGTCCATCACTGCTGCCCCTGTGCCAGTCCATCTCACAGGTTTTTCTCGTTGTCAAATTGACCTTCCACTTTACCAGGCACGATGTCTTTCTCCAGGGACTGGTCCCTTCTGATAACATCTGAAGCATCACCCCCTTTTAAAAAACAATTGTCATTTAAAATATGGTGCTGTACTCATGTTACCAGAGTCCTGGTGTGGTGCTGTAGGAGGAGCCCTGGACTGCTAACTACACGGTGGTTCAAACTCATCCGCTGCTCTTTAGAAGCCCAATAGCAGGGTTGCTATGAGTCATAAGGTGTTTGTTGGGGGTTTTCAGAAGGCCACAAGAGAGATTTCATTTTAGAGATTTAAACTGTGTCTCTGAAATTATTCATAATCGTTGGGAAATTGCTTAAAGTTTTTATCTTAATATGTAAGGAGGCTTCTAAGAGTTCATGGAAAAATGGAATTGAAAGATAATGGAATTTTTCACAAACTTTATGAAGTCCCCCCTCAAACTTTATTAGTTATAATATGAGCTATTATTACTAAGGTTTGTGTGATTAACAATGAAAACCGCTTTGCTGTGTAATGGGCACAGGACTAGTTACTCTACAGTAGATTTCATGTGCTCTCCCCATACAGATTGATCTCTTGACCTAATGAAGCCTTGGTAAAGCGAGGACTCAGCTAGGATGTTACACCACCATTGTCGAAGGAACCCTGAGCTCCAGGAAGAATTGCAGATTCAGGCTGCCGTGGCTGCTGGGGACGTTCACACCGTCCGGAAGATGTTAGAGCAAGGTTATTCTCCAAACGGCCGAGATGCTAATGGCTGGACCCTGCTTCATTTCTCTGCAGCAAGGGGAAAAGAGAGATGTGTCCGAGTATTTCTAGAACACGGAGGTGAGTTTGCTAGAAGCAAGTCCTTTTCCCCAAGTGGAAACGTAAAATTCAGTTGTATTTCATTTATGTGTGCGTGACATTTTCAATGCTGCTTTTTCAGTAATACTCAACATCTTTTTCTTGTGAAAATTTTATATATTACCCTGAATCTTGCTTAAAACCAGATTGTGTGAAAGATTAGTTTGGTACATGCATCCTTTTTAAAAACGTCTCCTCTAAATGGTGCCATGGAATCTTGGTGTGGCGCTGTGTGGTAAAGAAAGCACTGGACTATAAGGTTGGTTTGGAAACCCTGTGCAGGATCGCGATGAGTTAACTCCATGGCATTTCACAGCACCACAGCATGTGGCGCCATAGGATAAGCAGTCCATCTCAAGGTCGGTGTGAACCACAGGGTCGGTGGTTCAAACTCACCAGCCACTCCTTGAAGACGCTATATAGAGTTGCTATGAGTCAGAACTCACTTGCTGGCACTTTAAAACAACAACAACATAGCTGGTTAATATGAAGTCAGAGTTCTCCTTCTATCCCCACTAATCAACCCTGCCTAGATTTGCTTGGTAGCTATTCTTGCCAAGTCCTAGTGGCTGTGATACCCAGAATTACACAGTGGGACACGCTGTCCTTGTTGGTGGGTTACTCAAGCAGATCCACGTAGTCTGTCTAAACATCATTACTCTGACAGTACCTTAGCCTGGAAATGTACCACTTTTTGTTTTCTTTTGAAGCTTTCTTATATTCTTACTGTTTTAGACGACTAACCGTTTCCAGAATTGCACACAGTTTCTAGGTGTTATACAGAAAGTGGTTATCTGAAGTTTTAATTTTTGTGTACCATAGCGGTTACAAGTTGGACTACTGACTTCAAGGACAGCAGTTTGAAACTACCAGCTATTCCGTGAGAGTAAGATTTACAGCCTCAAAAACCCTACACAGGGTCTCTGTGAGTTGGAACTGACTCCACAGTACGTAATCAAGCACTCAGTGACGCCTTGGTGGAGCTGTGGTTAAAGCACTTGGCTGCTAATTGATAGATTGACAGTTCTAACCCACCACAACTGGTTGGCTGAAGAAAGATTGTAGCAGTCTGCTTCTGTGATGATTTGTTGTTAAGTGTCATCGAGTGGTTTCCGACTCATAGTAACCCTCTATAGGGTTTCTGAGGAGGAGTTGGTGGGTTTGAACCACCTACCTTGCAGTTCAAGCTGACCTTATGGTCCAGTGCATATCCTACAGTGCCACACCAGCCTCTCCTCGGAAACCCGAAGGGCCAGTTCTGAGTTCTAGTTTGTCTCCGATCCTGTGAGTCAAAATCGACTCAGTAACAGTGGCGTTTTATTTTGTGATGTATGTGTGTGCATAGAAACACAGTCACAGACACATATGTACGTGTGTGTGCCATACAAACCTTCCTTTGATACTTTGTTTTTGCTTGAAAAAAAATTTATGCTCATTAATTATTTAAACTAGTTTGTCCTATACATGAATTTGCTTTTCTTCCCAGCTGAATTACAACTAATTATTCCTTTTATAATTATGGAGCAAAGCAGCTTCATTGGAGTTCAGTTTTTCATATGCCATAATAGATCCTGAATCTTTCATTAAAGTTATTCATTTTATTTCTAGACTCCGTTTTATCGTAAGGAGAACCAAACATACTTGCATCCTGAAGTACATAGAGTATTAGACATTTCACAGTTCAATGAGGGTCATATGAATTAGGTGGACATCTGGATACTATGGATGTGACCACAAACTAATTATAGGGTGGTGCTAGACCGGATGTGGCAGGGCCAGCCCCAAGGTGGCAGTGAAGTGCCAGGGCTAGTTGACTGTGGAGAGGCTCCAGTTGTCTGTCTTCCTCCCTGCCTGCCACTCAGGCTCATGCGTCATTTCTCCCTAGAACTCGAAGTATCATCAGACCCTCTTTTCTGAAGGAGGAGTGTGTAAAAGGAAAACCAGGAAAACATCTGACGAAACTAAACGGTGCAGAGAGAATCAGAACACTTAAAAGTTTGGCAATGCTTCACAAAACTAAGACCAGAGTCAGAACTCAGCAGTTTTTATATTGCACTGGTACTGCCTTCTCTTCTGCCGTATAACAAAACAGTAAACTTTTTTATTTTTAATAATATATATTGTTGTTGTTAAGTGCCATCAAGTCGGTTCTAAGTACCATCGAGTCGGTTCTGACCCATAGCAACCCCTGAACAGGGTTTCTGAAGCTGTAAATCTTTGCGGGAGCAGAAATCCTTATCTTTCTCCCACGGAGCAGCTAGTTTTTTCAAACTGCTGACCTTGTGGTTCACAGCCTGATTTGTAACCACTACGCTACCAGAGCTCCTGAATAATATGTATTGTTATATTATATATATATATATATGTTGTTGTTGTTAAGTGCCGTCGAGTCGGGTCCGACCCATAGCGACCCTGTACAGGGTTTCCGAGGGTGTAAATCCTTACGGGAGTAGAAAGCCTCATCTTTCTCCCGCGGAGCGGCTGGTAGTTTCGAACCGCTGACCTTAAGGTTCGCAGCCCGATTCGTAACCACTACGCTACCAGAGCTCCTTTATATATATATATATATGTGTAATAGTTTGTTTTTTGGTGAAAGACACTGCAGACCTCATTCCCATTCAGCAGTTTGTGGACCGTAAGTTCAGTGGCACTGTTGCTGCTTCCTTCACATGGTTTGTCACCTTCTAGCTGTTTCTCTCCCATTCACGTAAGTAAACTCCATGCACCCCAACCTCTCACTTGCCTTTAAAATAGCCGCTGCTCATTTGGTCTCAGATAGATGATTTTTGTTTTTTTGAATGTAATACCCCAGGTGATAATCCTTACTTTTTGAGATAAACTGTTACTTAGTTTAAAGCTGACTTCAGGGCATGCTTTTTAAGATTTGAAGAGCAATCTCAAGGCCATAGTCTCAGTCCCCTCCAGCCTCAGCAGGTCGTCTTGAGTCTGGATTCCTTAAGACTATAACTCTGGGTTCCACATTTTTGTCCCGTTTTATCAGGATCCATCTCTTGTGTCTCTGATCAGAATGTTTGATAGTGGTAGTCGGCACTCTAGTTTTCGGATCTTAAGTTAGAGGAGGCCATTTGTCCATGTAGAAAATCAATCCTGTAGTCTGTTCCTTCTCTGACTCTTAGGCTTCCTTCTTTCTGGTTTTCCAGATAGACATGTAGCAATAGTTGTGTGTTAGCCACACTTTTTAAAACTTTAATTAAGAATAAACCAATTCAGTTCCTCAGCATACATAATTTTGTCTTTTTTTTTTAATGTTTTACTGTGAATTAAGTGATAGTTTACATGGGAGAACATTAGTTTTACGTTCATCCTATCATATATTGTTTCATTGCCATGGTTACAGTCTCCTCCATGCATCATCAACCAAACCAAGGGTATACCCTGCAAGCCTGCCCCCAGTCATCAGCACACAGCCCCTCTCCCTCTCTGGATCTCAAGTCCTCAGCTGCTCCATCGCTCCATGTCATCGTCTCTGCCTCCATCTCAGGCATCACTGCTTCTCTGGGTAGGGTCCCGCTCTCAGCTCTTATCCCCTTCATGGACCCTAGGGACCTCTGCTCCTAGACTGAAAAGTTAATCACTCCTCTCCTTGCTACAAAATGTCTACCTTTACATTTCCAACCCTCACAATCAGTGCTGGTAACAGTTACTCACTATTGTATCTTAAGAGACCTATCCACATTTCCTTTCATCAGCCCCGCCCACATAGATTGACTACTACTCAGTGGAGATTCTACCTTCCTCCAGGCCCTCTGGATCTAGATTCCCTCTTGAAAGCTTGTAAGCCCATCACTTCTTGACTTTGTAGCCGCCCCCCCCCCCCCCCCCCCCATTTTGGGTAGCCAATGCCCAAGTTGTCCATTCCTGTCTACTCTGTGTATGGAGGGGATGGGAATGATCCTCGCTGTAAAGATTTGTTACCTCTTTTGAGCTACTGCATCTATAGGTGTAAGTCAAGCTCATCAAATTGTAACAGATTACTCTTTTGTTCCTCTTCTTTCTTCTTCTAATTGAGCTCTGATCATCCAGTCATTAAAGCCAGGTCAAGTGGATATTATATACAAGTGTGGGTGTTCTTGTGCATATGCCTTCTCTTCTGATCAGCTGGATGCTTCATTCTCCACTCTAGTCCTCTGTGGCCATGTCACTGGATTTTGTCTTCTTAACAAGCAAAAATCCTGAAAAAAAAAAAGACAAAACCACATTCACCTTTGGTTAGCTCCCAATTCTGCTCTGTCTGACCCTGCCCAAGAGTAATTCGTGTGATTTTGGTGTTTTATCGCTAGAGCATTTCCTAATCCTTTTGCATGTACGCTTAAGAAAAATGTGGTATTGTAGTGTGTGTTTGGAGTTGTGGTGTTACACTGTGGGTTAATGTGCCAGACGGCAAAGCCATTTGAACTGCCAGGTCGGCGGTTCAAGCTCACCAGCCACTCCTCGGAAACCCTATACAGAGTTGCTATGGGTCAGAACCGACTCGATGGCACTTAACAACAACAACAGTGTGTGTTTGTTTTGAGCATAAATACCACTGACTGTATTAGTTTATAACTCTTGTGTTTTATGCAACACAAATGACTTGAAGATTTTTTTTATCAAGGACTGGCAGAAATATATTCTGTGAAAGAGCAAATAGTAAATATCTTAGTCTTTAGGAGCCACAGATAACATGGTAAACGAAGGAGTGTGCTTGTACAAAATCAGGTGAGGGCCACCGATGATGAACCTTGTTATATACATATTTACATAATATATTTATACGTATACATGTGTTCACTAATTTATATACCTTTGGTGGTGGTTTTGTGCTGTGGAGTCGGTTCCAACTCATAGCGACCCTGTACAGGGTTTCCGAGGCTGTAAATCTTTACCGGGAGCAGTAAACCTAATCTTTTCTCACACGGAGCAGCTGGTAGTTTCAACCTGCTAACCTGAGGTTAGCAGCCCGACTTGTAACCACTACAATA